GAAGTTGAGGTTCCACCCCAAAACCAATTGGCAATGGGGGGAGTAGCCCAACTCCTTATAAACCCAGGCTAGGTCCCTTAACATTTCAATGTGGGACAAATACTCTCAACACGCCCCCGCACGTGTGGCGAACTTTCAAGCCTAACACGTGGACAACACATATTGGGTGACGTGGGAGCACGTGTGGCCGTTGGGCCCAACACGTGAAGCCTTGCTCTGATACCATGAAGGAAGTTGAGGTTCCACCTCAAAACCAATTGGCAATGGAGGGAGTAGCCCAACTCCTTATAAACCCAGGTCATGTAGTTCTCTCACTCCTTGGATACTGTCTACATACACCAGAAATTCATTTTCTTTCAGCTTGTTGATTTCTATTAAACTGTGGCTCATCCCATTCTCAGTTCTGTTAATTGTCAATTTTCCTTACAGTTAATTATGGACCGCTGGCGTGGAGTTCTAAAGGTCCCATTGAACCCTAATGCCAGGACCTGCTACCGAGTTGCAGCATCTCTTTGCCTTTCACGTACTTCCAAAACACTATCTGTAAGTTCTGTAACTCAACCCTTTTAATAACTCAAAGACATGCAAACCTTTGTTTCCTGTCTTCAACTGAATTCTTCTGAAACATTCACACTTTAGTCCGGTTTTCTTCTTTCTCCTGAAAATGTTAGAAATACATGACTACTAATTTCCTATGAGGTGTAGTCTATGAATTCTGAATGTATCTGCTTTTCTTCAGGACAGATCTTAAACCCTTGCTATATTTTTTCTCCTATCTGACTTTGGAAGAATGAAGACTTGACTGTGTCTTAAAATTTTCCTGGGAGACAGGTTCCTTCAGCAAATGCTATCTTTTTCAATGGAGATCGAGTATCAGGCACTGGGAATCCAGTGATTGAGAGGCTATCTGACTTACAAAATATTGCTGAAATACTGGTCTCAAAGATTGGTGATTCGACCAATGCTTGGGTTATTGATGCTTCTGTTTTCAATGGGCCTTTTGCTGTGTATCACGACTTTGTCCCGTCCATTAATCAATGGGGAGAGCCGAAGTCATACTGCCCTGTTGGATCCCCAGCTTTTGGGTCGATTATTTCACTCTTATCAAGTTGCCTTCAACAGGTACATATTGACCTGACTTCGTAGTGTTTCTGGCATCATTATTTTTCTTGGTTATTAAATCACTCAAGTGTTATTTGCTCAAGTATACTTTTTTTGTGGAAGAGGAGTGTTCAGGTGATGAAATATGCTCTGCGTAATATCAATGATTGTCAAAATTTAAACTGGATAGACTGAGGCTATGCTTAAAAGACTCATCCTTCTTTTGAACCCTGAATCACTCTTAGCAGTAGATGGTTCTCATCTCTAAACTTTTGACGGTTGCAGGTCAAGAATGACATTGCGAGAGGGAAAGAACTGCTTATACCAGGAATATCCGCATCGCATTTTGATCTACCTAAAACATTATTCTTTGGATTCAGCAAGGGTGGCACTGTACTTAACCAGCTAGTTACTGAGCTTGGCTTCTCAGATGTTAAACCCTCTGGAGATCCACCACTCTTGGAGGAAAAGGAAATTGGTGTCGAAGACGAGATTCATATAATACCTAGAACAAAACAAAGCCTGTTTAACAGCATCAGAGAAATTCATTACGTGGATGTTGGATTAAATTCCCCTGGTGCATATATCACTGACTATAGCGTGATTGAGAAAATCTCCGAATGCCTAATACAAGAAGCTACAGGAATCAAATTTGTTCTTCATGGAACTCCCAGGCAATGGTGTGACAGCAGACGACCTTGGATATGCAAAGAAAAAGACAAATTGGTTCATCTGCTGGAGTCTGAATCTCAGAGAAGTGGAGGAAAATTACAGGTGTTTGAGAAATTTTATTTTGCTGATAGCCCCCCGGATTTGCAGATGCATTTTGAAGTAATTGATAAATTGGATTTGAATTAACAGCTGTGAGTAGACCAAGATTATTGTAATTATATTGTAAAAAAAAAGAGTGAATGGAAATATTCATTGGAAAACTGTTTATCATTCTTTTATACAAGTGATCTATAAGACTGAAGGCCTCATATTCTGATTCATGTGAGAAATTGCAACTTCTGTTATATATATATATATTAGAGCCTTTGAGTCCCAAATGTGTAGCTTGCTAAATTTATAGTTGCTTGCGAGTAAGAGCAGGGGAGTTTAGATATGCAATGAAAAAGATAGATTGGTTCTTCTGCTTCAATCTGAAGCTCAGAGAAGTGGGGGAACATTAGAGGTGTGAGAAATTTTTATTTTGCTGATGGGCACCTGATTTGCAGATGCATTTTGAACTAAAAAAAAAATTGGATGAGTTTAAATTTGTAAACTGTCATCGTTTAATTGTATTATGAAAAAGAAAGTAAAAGGACTTTACAATTGTATTATCATTGGCTTTTGATTACATTATGAAAACACCATAATTGGCAAAAGTGGCTTTTGCTTCATAGTACAATAAACAAAATACACAATATATCTTGTACTATATTAAGCTTCCTGCAGCACCCAAAGCTCTCCGCATTGACTGAATCTTCAAAAGCAAAACCCTCCCTTTGATCTTGGTGGAACATTTAACTCAAGGTCTCTGTTGCATACCGGTGTCGGCCTAATCGGAATAATCGATGAATCAAGCACCTTACTATGACAAACAGGGCACTCCATTTGAGAGGTGAAAAAGTGCAGCCATTTGTCCAAACAATCCCCACAGAACAAATGACCACATGGAGTCACCACTGGCTCTCTTGCCATCTTCAAGCACAGCTTGCAGTCAAAATAGAAAGCAAGTCTTGGTGGAGACGATGGCTCTGGACTTGCAGGGCAGAATGAAGCGCCAAGTTCATGGCTTTCTTGCTCATCATCATCATCAACAACATCATCATCATCAACAACATCATCATGATGGGTAGAGCTCCAAGCGTCCAGAGGTGAGGTAGAACATGAACCACCAACAGAATGAACAGCAAAGCTATCAGACTCAAAAAGGTCGCCGCCATTGTTGCTACCTTCCATGGAAGAAGAGGCCTCACAAGGACTGCAAGGCTTAATTTCAGAACAAGACAGGGCAACAGGTTTATAACCATAGGGAGATAATTCTTCTTCATCCATGAGATCACATTCTTCTGGTTCTGCTTCTGGAATTCTGAAGTGGAAAACCTGAGGGGGCTTCATAACTCGCATCCTTGGCTTGCGGCTTTGAAACCCAACCTTGATCACTTGTGGCATACTTTCATTCATGGAAGCCATAGATTCACGGCTGACCAAAACAGAGCAAACACAGAATGCAAGAAGTGGACACTGAGGGAATAGAGTTGCAGGGTTTCTAATTTCCTACAGATATCAGGTATATATAGGCATTGGGGTTTGCTTTCAAGATCCAATCCTAATTCCACTAGGAGAAGTAGGATTTCGTGGTCCTCAAGTTTTCAACGGCAGATGACCGTTGTAATTCTTTTATTTAGTGTATAAATCCTTTTCCTTTTTCTTTTTTTTTTTATAAAAAAAAAAGACCCTTTTGATTTTCAGAAAAAATAATATTATATTCAATTGTAAATAATAAGATTTGATAAGGAGATAATTGCGAACCTAAATAAATTCTCTCTTTCGTAATGCAATCCAATACCCACGTTTAGAAATTCCTTTAAACTTATTTTTCGACACAAAATCACACTCTCCCTAAAATACCCTAATTATCTTTGTCTTTATATATATACTTTGGTAAAAATAGGAAAGTTTTCAAGACGAGCTCTTTTGTAAATAGGAATCAGAATTGAAGGGTTCTTAACAAATCTTTCACCTCGGATCAAATTCTCTCTGAGCTCCTCTCACTTTGGGCAAATTCAAAGCAAATCCAGGCTTCAGACCCAAAAACAAACAAAAAAAAGGCCCAAAACTGCGCAGCTGCTGCGCGTATAGCGCACATCGGCTAAATATATTTTTTCTAATTCCCTGTCCCAAAACGTTTGGGACCAGGACCAAAAAAAAAAGAAAAAGAAAGAAGAATACCCACAATCTAGAAGAAACGCTGATAAGGTGCAAGGTGTTTTTTTCACTCCACAGTTTTGGTCCAAGCCTTGACAAAAACTAGGAGTAGTCATGGGGTTGGGCTAGGATCTTTCAGTATGTTTCTGTATTTTGTTTTTCTGGTGCTATCTGTTTTGCATCAGGTGTTGGTGGCTTTGGCTGTAGCTTCTAGCCTCCATCCACCCATAGCTATATATTTAACCCGCTTGTTGGTTTGATTCTTCAAACCAGCCAATATATAAATATCTGGTTCCGCCCTTTGGCCTCTTGTTTGCCCTTATTTTATTGCCTACTTAATATCGTGCCGCCATAGCCCAATTGCTCTAAAGAGCAAAAACATCATCTGGCAGAGAAAAACTGGTGCCACATTAAGCTAGCTACAACCCATACCATGTGCCCTATATATTTGCTTTAATGCATACAGTGCACAATAGAAAGTTTGGTTTTTAGTTTGTTTTGTCCCTCTTCGTGTGTAAGCAAAACCAGCAGCCAACCATCCCCCATGTGATTCGCAAATACTATAAAAAGCCTAAAACCAAACAAGGAAAAAACTGCCCCATGCATGTGATATTACCCATTACAAATCAAAAAACAAGCTCAGAAACAAGAACCCAGACTAACTTGTTGCATAGAATAAGCGCATTTACTTGTTTGTTTGCGAGTTTCTTTTCTGTTTGTATTTTCCGATGCTTGTCTCAATGAGAGCTTTGAATGAATTCACCAAAGCTGTCCTCATATATATGATGGCTAAGCTAGCTGTGATCAAACAGAGCCCATAGCTTTTTGCATATTAAACAGGATGTACAACCGGTTTTGCATATACGCAATCGAATAGAAGTCGGAACGAAGATAATTGAGTTCTAGGGGAAAGAAACTCTATAATCTGCTAGAGATATAAAGTATATATTTTTTATATATATTCTTTAAAGATTTTACGTGATATTCAATTGGTTTTGCATGCGGCCTGCAGAGTCTGGATTAAACCTTTTTCTTGAAAATTTCTTTTAAACTTACTTAATCACTCGCTATTTCTGCTTCTCTTTCTCCCCTTGTTTTAATTTTTTTTTTTCAATGGTTATGTAACTTTGACAAAGCTGAAAATGAAAATTGCTTATCCTATTAACGACGAGAGAGAGAGAGAGAGAGAGAGAGATTCTTTCAAATTTCAGTATTTTTTTCTATTTTTGAAAATTAATGTTGATCAATTATCCGTAATCAATAAGGTTTTCATTGATTTTCAAATTAAAAATAAAATAAAAAAAAGTTCACCATTACTTAGATGTTCTTTTTGTTGCACAAAACAAAACAAGTGAAAGCTAAAATTAATTAGTAGATTTTTAAATTTTTTTAGTTAATGCACTTTTTGAAACTTTTTTTAATTACTAGTTGAAGTTTGAATTGTAATAAGAGTAATTTTTTTTTAACTTCCCAATCAATTTCTCTTAAAAGCATATTACTAGAAATAATGTCATTTCTTTCAATCTTTTTTTTGCATGCACACTTTCACCAGAAAAATAATAATATTTTTACTTTAAGAATAAATATTTTTTTTCCTGTTAATTGTTATTGGTTACTTGATATATGAATGATAGCTGGAAAGTGAAGGTTTTTAATGCTTTTTTTTTTCTTCCAATCTAAAGAAAATGTTTTATTAAATAATATTGAAGCTTCTCATACATAAAGACTGAGTAAAATACGCCAATGGAGTCTAACACAGTGGAAAATGACCTTAATTTGCAGACCAAAGGTCTAAGGTTCGAACCCTTATGACATCATTTGTGTATGTGAGAAATTCTCCTCCCTTCTAATTTAGACGAGGTGCAACATTTAAAAGGCTAAAAGTTAAAAAATATATATAGATAACCAAATACCCTTAGAATTTAAACAATACTAATATCATTCATAATTCATGGACAAAATTCATGCCAATTACACAATTAGTCTACCAAAATTCATATCAAATCATCAATTAATCTAACGAAAATCAATATCAAATAATCTAATCAAAATTCATATCAAACTATCAATTAAACAAATAAATTATAATTGATCATATCTCGCGCACCTAACACAAATCGTTAAGTCGGAAGCAATATCATTGCAAACATAACGCAGCGTTAAAGGCGAGGGTTTGGAGCAAGAATATGATTGATAGTGACTCAATTTCCCAAGAGTAGCTCAAAGAAAATTCATAGGCCGAGCGGACTCAAGAAAATCTTGATCATTGCATACATGTTGGAGTTGGAAGGACCCATCCACGATAGTGAAATTGGAATGATTCAAAGTGGGGTTATAAACGTGTTTGTAAACAAACTGTGATTTCATCCAAGGTGACAAAGACCTACACCTAAACCGAGCCCACAACAACTGGGGAATTTTTAGGTCCTCAGTTATCCTCTTTTTTACTTAAACCATATCCCCTCGGTTCTAATCGCCAGAGCCATCGACCCGACTGTTGAGAGCATCTTCCATTGTTTTAAACTTGAGTAATGCTCTTGTTGTAATTCTTTGGAAAAAAAAAAAAAAGGATTGAGCCACAGTTGTGGGAAATTCTAGTGATAATTCTCTGAAAAATCAATTTGAGCCACTTTTGTGAGAAACTTCAATATTGCTGTTTGTTTGTATGGCTATTAGAGCACTTCCACCCCATTCTCTTTTGTCATGGCAAAAGGGGGCCTAGGCTCCAAAAACAACTTCCATCCAAGGAAAAATTGTCATGGCAAGAAGTGGGCCATGAAACTGGATAAGCCTGAAGGCAAGGCTTTCACGGGTTGTTGCTTGGGCAAGTTGACATCATGATGATGTCAGTGTAATGTAGCCGATCAATTTAAATACCAAAAAATTTGAAAAAAATAGAAGAAAAAAAGACCAAAAAATTCAGAATTTTTTTCTTCTATAAATACCTAGCCATGTTCTTCACTTCCCACACCAAAATTCATACAAATTCCTCTCCTCATATCCCATATGAATAGTAGTTGCCCTTGGGTTGTCATGGCAATGGGTGAGAATGCATCAAAAAAATTGCTAGGATAGTCACTATTCATGTGAATAGTATGTGCCCTTACTTGCCCTTGCCTTTTGCCATGGCACAATGAGTGGAAGTGCTCTTATGAGGACACATAGGTGGTATGTGAATTGGCTATTTCTAGCCTTTCCTTTTGGTAGGTAAGCTAACCACCAAGTGGGCAATTAAGCTTGTAATAGATATTTTGTAGAGAGAGTTGCTCTCATTGTGAATCAATTCAAAAAATAGAAAAACAAGTCTGGACTGCTAGGCCTCTGAGTTCCAATTCCAAACTTCTCTTTCTCTTATCTTTGCATAATCTCTTGAGTGATTTGCTACTAGTATTACCAGAAAATTCCAACACATTGAAGATCAAAGTATAGCATAACAAATTTGAAAGATCTAGGGCCTCACAATTCATTGCCAATTGGTTTTGAGTTGGATGTTCACATTCTAACATCGTATGAAAGTCAAGTTATTTACATGATAGGCCCAACAACGACCCCATGTACTCCTATGCCAGCAAATAAAAATTGTCCACATATTAGGAGCATAAGACCTCACATGAGGGGACGTATTGAAAGACTCCCACATTAGATATGGAAACCTAACATAAAGAGTTTAAAAGATTATGAACCTCTCTATTCAATATTGCCAATTGATTTTGAGTTGAAAGATCATGTTCTAATCAACCACCTCCCTCTTTGGTGCTGGTGTTGGCCCTGGATGGTCTGCCTTGTCCTTAACTTTTTGATTTTGCTTCGTATTTTCTGTTATGTTTCTTTAGCAGTATCATTGTTAGTTGCTTTTATTTGCTGGGTTGTATCTCGACTTCCATGTGACTTACCTATTTGGTGTACCACTATACCAAATAGGAAAAGACCCAAAAAAAATAATAATAAAAATTCTACTGGAAAAGACCGCTTGGTCGGTTATTGTGGGTCGACGATGGTGCCACTACAATCACAATCAAAGGTGATAAATGTCTTTTCATCTTATTAGGTGCTTTTAGTTTTCCAATTCTTAATTATATGCCTAAGCAAAACTAGAAAGATCCAATTGGAAATTGATGACTGTCTATCCAAACTTGGTAAATTTTTTTAGAAAAGAATCACCATAGTACAAGACATTGACGTTGTGTCTTCCATAGATGCTTTAACAGTCAAGTTCACCACTAGGTACTAGCTTTTTTGAAATGTAATAGCAAGTTGAAGTTCTCACGGAGGAAATGTTGCTTATTAAAATGATGATTTTGTGACTGAATGAGAACTATTAGTCACGAGTCAACTTTATAAATTTTATACACTAGGTGACATTTTGGAACCCTGTTACATATAATAATAAATGATGAATCTTAAGGCTAGATGCGATGGTGGGGTTGACGGTGTCGCTTCTTCAAGTGGTGGCACTATGATATAATTCATTTAAGCTCACGTACTATTTTAGGGTTTCGGTTATTTTGAGTTTGTGGGCTTTATATGAGATTATGCTTAGTAGTTCTAAGCGAGTCTGCTTTAGTTTCGCATCAAAACATCAATAGACGAATTGGAACTTTTAGAATTTGTTTTAGCATCTCTACATTGTTTTGCTTACAATTTTGATTGCACCAATTAATTCCACAACCGTACGATTGGTGCAATATCCTTCATTGAATCTCAAGTAAATATTGGGGCGTGAATAGAGGAGGTTAAACTCTATTCAATATTTTCGATGTTACCATGAATATCAATCATGTAGTTTAAGGCGTTTGATAATCATTTCAATTTTAGTTTTTTGTTTTAATTTTTTGTGCTAGAATATAGAAGAAAAAAAGGGAGAATGAAAGTGAGAATGAGAGTGGAGATGAAATTGAGAGTGAAGATGAGAGGGAAGAATGAGAGGGAGGAGTAACAAAAGTGAAAATAAGAACTAAAAACTGAAATATATTTGAAATAGTTTTCACTTTCAAGTTTTTGTTTTCACTTTTGTTACTCCTCTTTCTCATCCTCCCTTTTCATCCTCTCTCTCTCTCAATCTCATCATCACTCTCATTTCCCTATATACTCTAGCACAACAAATAAAAAAAGAAAAAGAAAAAATGGTTATCCAACAGGCCCTAAGTTTTTAAGCAATTTAAGTCATATTTTCTCATTGGTGGGTACTTATATCTAAAGGCGGAGTCAGAAATTTTCTTCCACGTGGAGTATAATTTTTTTTATTTTGATTAAGGAGGTCTTGCAATGGGGTGTGCACTAATTTTATGGGATGAGGTATCCAAATTTTCAGAAAATATGGTGAATTTGTTATTTTATTTTTATACAAGTAATATTGGGGAGGGAATCGAACTTATGAGTTCGGGTACATTGATAAATTTTTTAACGACTTAAGCTATAAGTGACAGCTCACCCTAGTCTAAAAGTAGCTCCGCCATTATTATAACTCAATTGGTCAGAATCATTTGTTGCAAGTTCAATGACCTCTCTCCTCAATTGTTGTTATTTAAAAAAGCCACTTGTCCTTGTGGGATATAAATTGGAATGTATGTTTGTTAATGATGCGTTGAGACTTAAACAACCGTATGAGTAATCACACGCCAGGCAATCCCAGTCTAAATAATTGTGTTAATATATCAGATATTTTGGGTCCAGAGTTAATCTCAGCCGTTAAATTGACATACCCATGGACATAGTGGGATGTTGCATCACCTCTCTCTCTCTCACTCTCTCTCTTCAAAGCTTTCTTCTTCTCTGTAGGGACTGTAACTGAGAAGGAAAGGGATCTCCAGTGAATTGCAGGAACATAAGGATTTAAGTGGGGCAAGTTTTTACATAATTTGAACAATCTGTAAGTGGCCTTACTTTCTCAGGAAATTCTACAAAATAAATTACTTGTACTCAATTTAATTTCCACGAATTTTGAGGTTTTGTTTTGTTTTTTTAATGAAAAATTTCTTGGTTGACATGTTATGATCATCATGATTCTTTTGGTTGACTAATGATAAGTTGATATATAAATTTATTTATTTTCTATTGACTTAAGTGATTAATTATAATAATAAATCAGATTTTGTATGGATATTTTCAAATCAAGAGAAATTAATTGCAGGAAATTGAGTTCTAGAACTAATAATAATGATAGCTGGATGAACAAATAAGAAAGATTTATGCTTAAATTAATATGTTTATTTAAAATAAAAACACAAACTTGACTTTGATTCCTAAACAAAACTACATTAATAAAACAAAATACATAACTCTAGCTACTTGATGGATTTTAATTCTGTTTGAGGGTATCAATAAACCTTCCCTTAACTATATCATTGTTTGTGATAAAATCCAGAAAGTCTCTGAAGCTGAACTCCTTGTAAGACTGTGGATGTTGCTTGTCCACAAGCATTGGTGCAGGCCCTACTTTCTTGTCCAAAGAAAGACTGTGGAGACTGGCAATGGAAAGTCTACTTTTCTCAGAGCTAACTGTTGCTCTGTGAAGAACACTTTTGTAATGTCCATTGCTCAGAACCTCCATTTGGTCTCCCAGCTGAACCAAGAGAGCTCCTTCGATGGCTGGGACCGTTTGCCAGTTGCTGTTCTGGTCCTTTACCTGAAGCCCTGGACAACTTTGAAGCAGGATGGTTATGGAGCCATAGTCTGAATGGGGAGGCATTCCTAAGGCAAGCTCTGGTTCTGGACATGCAGGGTAGCAATTCACAGCCACTAATTGGGACCCACTTTCAACTTCTTCTTGTAAGTACTTAGGGTTTAGCCCCAAGCTCTCTATGACAAGCTCCATTATTTGCTCTTGTAGCACTTGCACAGCCTTGGCATAGTTTCCCATCTTCTCTCTGTCATAGAAATTTGCAGACATTTAGACTTGAACTTAATTTAGCTAGGTTGCCTTCAAATGTGGCAAGAATATTCAATAGAGTTTCGAAAAGAATGTTTGGTTAACTTACTTGTAACAAGAAGGATTTGATGGCCAAAGATGGATCCATTTTGAAATAGGATGGGAGTAGTGCTTAATGAAGTCTCTCCAAAAGTGAACCCTATCCACAGCATGATTCATACTTGTCCCGTACCTTACAGGTGCATGAACACTATCCGAACCTAGAAGCATCTTTTCCTCAAGAGGCAGGTTGAAGAACTCGTTTGCAGCACTTAGGGCATCTTCCATGACCGAAGACGGGATTCCATGGTTAACCACCTGAAAAGAGGATAGCCGTTAACATAAGAGTTTAATAGGTTAGGTAAGTAATCATGAGGGAGGCGCTAGCGATCTTCGAATTTTAATAACAACAGTGTATGCATGCAACGTAAAACAAAAACAAACAATCGCAACTTAAGTAGAAACGAGGTTACGTTTAAAGCCAATAATTAATGAAATTTTGTCAGCCACCTTCACATACATGAGGTGTAACAATCAATAGATGTAATACTAACTAAAAATTCTAATTTTGAAATCAAAATAACAATTCCCTATACATGTAGCTAACAATAGGTACCTGAAAGAAGCCAATTTCCTTAGAAGCCATCCGAATATTGTTGATGATTTGAGGCCTAAGAGAAGGGCTTTGCAAGGGGGAGAGGTCAACAATGGGAAGAGTGGTAGAGAGCCTAGAGGAAGAAGGGTTTGGGCGTTGTGAAGGAGGAAGAACATAGCGTTGAGGCACATGAGGCAACCCCGATTGGGTAAGTGTGAGTGCACTTGTAAATGAAGCTTTTGTTTCTGCTTTTGATGATGAGCTCTTTCCCACAAGGTGACCTTCCATAGAGAGAGAGAGAGAGAGAGAGAGAGAGAGAGGGGCTTGTGCTATACGTATACTATTTGTGATATGGGTGGTGCTATATTTATAAGGTGAACTTAAATTTTATTTTATTTTTTAAAATTTGGTATATATAATAAAAATGCTTTTTGCTTTTTGGCACAGTTACAATGTATTGGGGAAGTTTGTATGGAATAATAGTAACACAAAAGTGCTTTTTTTTGGGGTACATGAATAAATGTGTCATTTTCACATTTCTAGCTTGAGTGAGCAGAGGGAAGGTTTTGGGGAAAAAATAATAATTAAACATATATAGTCTAATATTTTAAACTAAAAATAAATACAAAATATACAATTGCATATCCTATCACACCAATAAGCATAGTCAAAGGTCTTCCACATTTGTATTTGGTTTCAAAGTTTGTCCCAAACATTAATTTTAATCTTTTTTCATTAACGTATCTCCAAAAGAGAAGCATTTTTCTAAATAAAATTCACCATTTCGTGAATAATATGGCTCTAATTCCAATTTTTTTCTTGTGTTTACAACTAACATGATTTATATGATTTAATGTGACTTTTATTTCTAGAAAAACTATAGAAACTGTTAGTACAAAAAAAATATACTATTATATTTTAAGCTAATAACTTTAGCTAGCTCATCTCTTAAAAAATTCCTAATTCTGCCGTTGCGAGGGAGCGAAGCATTTAGAACCAAGTGGTGCAAAAGTTTGGGTTGATTTGATACAAGGCAGCCCCCATCAAGCGATGCTAAATTTCTGCTAGAAAGGGACCCACAAGTTAAATCTTGTTTATCTTTGTCTTTGTTTGTTTGTTTTTTTATTTTATTTTATGTTTTGCAAATAATCTGCTGGAAAAATGGAGAGGAAAGTGAGCTGCAAATTTTATGCGGGTGGGTGGGAGGAGGTGGAGGGAGTGTATTTCACGCGCCAGATGAGAGGGGGCTGTTTTGTAACGTCAGAGGTTTTAAGAAGAAAGAGAAATAAAATGTTTGTTTCTGCCGTATTAATTATTTCACGCACAATTAATTATGATTTCATGAGGTAATTAAACTCAAGCGTTTGTTTGATAACTATTTCTTTTTTCCTTTTTTTTCTTTTTATTTTTTAGAGATAGAGAGTAAATATATGAGCGGAAAATGAAAAATGTACGTTGGTAAAAGAAAGGTAGTGAGGGAGAATTGTGGAAGAACCGTATATGAAAAGTTACCTAAAATAAAATACTTTAAAAAACTTGAGCTTTTGTTTTTTCTTCTAAGTTTTTATTTCGAATATCATTCTTAGTTCAGTGTCATTTTTCTATCATTTTTTACCCTTCATTTCCTTATATACTTTCCTTCTAGTTTAGTATCAGAGAAATTAACAATTAAAAACTAAAAACGAGTTGATTGTCAAACGATTCTACGTGGTTAGATTATGTTGGGATCAATGGAGCCATATAAATGCCTGGTTTTCTTGCCAAGTTTTATAAACTACATGGGTGAGCTGGTTTTCCAGAAACACTAGAGAAATGGATATAATTAGGAACGGACTCAGGATTTCAAATTGGAATGGGCTAAATTTATATTATGCACAAACCTATTAAGAAGTAATTTCATTGATCACAAAAATATATCATAATAAAAAAGACATAATGAGCTTTACCCCTCAATCTAATACCTATATTTTTTCTATTTTCTACTTGCAAGGAGTGCGTGAAGTGAACGACCAGTTTTCTACTAAAAAAGAAAATAAGGGTTGTTTTCAACAAAAAAATGGGGGTTGTTTGTGTTTGGCCTTTGGCCCCTTTTTTTAACCAAAAAATAAATAAAGGTGAAGGGTTAAGGGTTGAGGTAACTGACCTTAACTTATTAGTTTTATCATTTGTAGTGTAAAATTACATAAAAAAGAAAGAAAGAGTCCAAAACAAAACGGAGTGACCATATCCTTTTTGTTCTTTGTAGTATGCTATGCTAAGTAGAAAGTCATAGACTCATAGGTATTCACGTGGCGCACAACCAATAAAAGAGTGTAGTGCATGAATGTCCATTGGGTGAGCTTAATTTAGGTTGAAAAAAGACAAAGTCACCTGGGCTAACCAGAGGGTAGGTCTATCCCTGGATATAATAATTTTTTTATAGTCACATCAATTTCATTAATAAAAAGCCATTATAAGACTATAGCCTCACAAGGGGCTATTGTAAACAATAAACAAACTATGGCATGACAATGAGCTAAAACAATTTTATACCTTGAAGATCCGGCTCACTATGAACTGCAAAGCATAAAAGGATCCATAAAGCTAGTGCATCCGATGCTGAAAGAAGATCATATGAGAGATGAGAAACTCTTTACGAGTTTGGGAGTTGGGGATAGGAAACACCTATCAGTAAAAAAAAGCAAATTCCGCTCAACTTCTACCAAGACACATGATCACAATGTCTCCCAAACACACTTAAACCCAAAGCACAAATTGATAGTATATATCCACAAAATCAACAACTCTATCCCTCAACACAAAGATCAAATGGAGATCCACCTCATCAACCCACAACTGCAAAGGACACCACATCAGAGGCCAAAAAAAATAGATCTACACAAATCTACAAAGATCGAACCAAAAGATCAGTAGGAAAACCCTAGAACAACTAGAGATGAGACAAACCATGCAAAACACAAGGAAGACAAAAGCCTAATGGATATAATAATGTTAACACCTTTCTTAACCGAATTTGACTCTTGCACGCGACATGTGGAGGCTTACAATAATAATGTTATGTCGCATGTTGTAGTATATACAGTCATATATTTCGTAGTCATATATATATATATATATATAATTAGTTTCTTGTTTTGTCTGAAAAATGAGTATTTTTTACATACATGTTGTTAAAGAATATTATATGTTATCTAGTATTAGATTTAGTCGAGATTGTAAATTTAGTTTAACAAGAGAATATTATTCGATATATACATATAGGAGTTTGATTGCCTGAAAGGACTTCATGGAAAATAGTTCCCCTATATTATCCCATGCGGCATGAAGGATATTTCTCAAATATGAACGTACCAAATATGGGAATGAATAATTTTCCTTTGCCAAGCCCTTTTTCCTTGTGAACCAACGCCTCCATATGACGCAGCGTGACAATTAATAGGCTAAAACTATAGTCAAATTACAAGAACGCTCGAATCCGCCAGGAAGAAAGAGGAAACATCAAGTTTATTGAATTCAGAAAATAGCATAACAACCCTAAACCACGGGTTAAAATTTATTTAAATACACCTAGAAACCCTAAGAATCTAACAAGGAATTAAAAGGGAAAAAAATAAAAATTCCAAAAGTTAGTTAAAATAATAAAATGATGCTTTGGGCTGCTAAACGACATCAAATGCCCGAAAAAGGTCATACATCATAGCAAAGCGATGAGATTTACTTGTGTCACTGATCTCTTCGAAATAACTGGTTATGGGCCCAATTATGAGCTCGAAGTCCAAACTTGTAGCTTTCCGATTTTGTCTTTGCGCGCATGACACTCCAACTCTTCCTCAATTGCTTCTGTCATCTGTTCTACATCACCTTTGAGTGTAAAATCACGAATTAGATCTTCCATTAAAAAAAAATTATTCCCGGATCATCTCTAATAGAACCAAAAATAAATAAAATTGAACATAAGTTTGATAGTCTATATATAATATGCACACAATTATAATATAATTATCAATAATCTGTATTAGAGATGTGGTCAGCATCAATAAATGTGATAATTTTGTGGAACATCATCAACTGTATATGTTAACTTAGCATATATTCCAATTAATCTGGACAAGCAATTTTGTTCAAGCAAGATGTAGAGACATGAGCATGTGGTTTTCCTTTTCCATTCTACAACTTTGACCCATCAAGTCAACACCTTTTACTTGCTTGCCCAACCATAGCTAGCCACGTTGCTGCAAAGATCACCAAGGCAAATGCAATGCGGGTATGTTTTTATGTCAAAAGGGTTTTGTTTGCATGTCCAACATTCTTATCCGAAGGATGGCTCAACTGTTCTTATTTCTATATATATATGGAGAAACTTCCATCATGGATTTTGCTTCCATTCCTTGCATGATGTGTGTGTATATATATATTTGGAAATAATTATATTTGATTAGGTTTTGAAGGTTTATGGGTAAAAGTAGCTGGCTATGGTGGTTTCATGCATGTGGGAAAACCAGCAAATGGTATTGAATTGATTTCAAGTTAGCTAGAGGGCTAAAAGCAGCTGAAATTTTTCGAAATCTAGTTAGATTTTTATTTGAATACTTTCTGCTCTTTTTTTAGAGTAGTATAAAAATATAACATTGTATTAGTGTTCGAACTCCAACCATGTTTAGTGATTAGAATTTGATTGAATTAGAAGATGTGATTAGATTGAAGAGAATAATATAGTAATCAAATATTTGATAACTTATACTATGAAAAAGTTGAAATACTTAATCCCACTATTCCGACCCCAATAACTTAGGACTTGGACATTGGGATTGGAAGTCGAGACCCGCCAGGGACCTGACCAATGACCCTAACACCTATGTCAATTAATCTAGCCCTTTAGACATGTGCAACGCCAAACCAAAATACACGCGTAGGGATTATAACGGGGTAATCTTTTTATAGAGATATTTAATCAAATACCCATTCTTAGCACTCAAACTATAAATAAACCCTACACCATTTAATTTCTATAAACAAACCCAAAAAAAACCCAAAAAATGATAGTTGACTGTTTGTGCAAATAATCTCGCGGAAGAATATTCGCTTTTAGATCCTTCGCCCTTTGATATTCCTTTCTCTCTCTTCCTCGATTCCTGTAAAAAAGACCGGAGTAAATAGACTACACTCGAGGGGTGTTGGCCAAAGGCCCTCCAATGCCTAAATTAGTTCGATTGAATTCCCAATCAATCATACCCAGTGTTTGTGCAAATAATCTCGCGGAAGAATATTCGTTTCTAGATCCTTCGCCCTTTGATCTTCCTTCTCTCTTTTCTAAGTGGAGAGTGGAGAGGGAGAGAGCTTCGGGTATTTTTCTCGGGTTTTGGAGCTAGGTGTAGAAGTAGGTTTTTTGAAGTCGTACATTGAATGATGAATGAAGTCATCCCTTTATTAGGATAATATCTAAATTAATGATATTATCTCATTAATTATAAGATAATA